CGACATGCTTGATTGATTTTAGAGATGTGTAGACCTTATGGGATGACCATGTATATTTCTTCTTGTAAATCACCCCGAAAGAATGCATTGTCCATGTCAAGTAGTCACCCTTTTACAACTGCTATATATAGCAAGTAGAGTTCTGATCGAAGTAAGTTTAGCAACATATGAGAATGTTTCAAAGAAGTCAAACACCTTGTTGGATGAAGCCTCTGGCCACCAAAAGAGCTTTGTAGCGCTCTACTTCTCCATTGGATCGATACATAACTTTGTATACCCATTTGGAGCCTATGGTTGTCTTTCCTGGTGGAAGATCTATAAGGTCCACGTATCATTTTTGGCCAAGGCAAATAGCTTATTATTCATTGCTTGTCTCCACTGTTGTGATTTTACAGCTTCAGAAAAAGAGCGTGGTTATGTGTGTGTTGTGATTATTGTTATAAAAAAAACTAGTGTAAAAATACGTGTTAAAACACAAGTAAAAACTCTTCTTAGTGAAAATTATAACAACTACGTGTAAAAATGTAAAAACGGTAGAAACACAAGTTTTTACGTTTTTACTTAAACCAAAAAACCAAACAAAGTCAATTTTTAACCCATGACCTGGTTTTATTTTTTTAATAAAATAAAATAAAAATCTATTTCCATTTCCCTCAAATCAAATTAACAATATGTTCTTCTAGCTATTTGAAAGAAAGAAAAACCCTCATGTAAGGCTGTTGTATTTTCATTTAAGAGTTGTTAAACTTTATTCTTTTGATGTTGTGAAACTTGGTTATAGTAGTAGTTAAACTCTTTTTGTGTTTTTGGACTTATGTCTTATATAGTTATATGACTTATATGAAGTTGTTAATTGAATTTTGAATAGTGACTTATGTGATATATTTTTTGGGTTTTATAAGAGTTATGTGGTAGGAAAAGTGATTATGTAATGTTATAGAGATTTGTTTTGTGTGCCATAATTTTCTTTCTTTCTTCTTTCTTCAAAAAGTGTGGGCTCCACAAAATGTTGTGTGTGTAGAAAACTTTGTTGTGTCATGTTAAATGACAAATGCAAATCCCATATTATATATATATATATATATATATATATATATATATATATGGCTTATCATTTCTCAAGCTGCTTGAGATAATTTTATCTCCGGCTACTAAATCATAACCGTACAAAGATGGATCAATGATGATAAAGGAAGAGAGAGAAAACGGAATCATAACCATTCAAAGGTGAATCAATTAATATAAGGAAATAAATAAACAAAACAACGTAGTTGGGGTGACCGAAAATAAACTTATCTCAAGTTGCCGAGAAATATTTTCCCCCTATATATATATATATATATATATATATATATAATTTTGTATCTTGGCCTTATGTAGCAGAAACATTAATTTTCGTGTCATTTTTATGATTTGCGTTTCTACCATTCTATTCCCTTCTATTTATACGTAAACATTGGTTGTGACGTTAAGATAGAAAGATTTATGGGAGGGAGAACATGATGAGTAAGATACTACATCAAACCACTCGCGGACCAGGTTGGGTCACATGTCCGCAAGTGCGGACATGAGATTTTGGATTTTAATTTTTTTTTTTTAGTCATATAGGTTATTATTTGTCTCTTGATTCAATATTTATAGTAGGAGTTAATATTATTTTAAGTTCCTAACAAAAAATATGGTCCCCATTTTAGTCCCTTACCAAAAATTAGTCCCGAGAAGGTCTCTAAAAAATTCAAAGTGGATCAATTTAATTAAAATCGCGATCCCTCACAAATTCAAAAAAGACCTACATTAGTCTCAAAAAGACTAAAATAGGTCCACTTTAAATTTCATAGGGACCAGATGACTCTTTTTTGTATAATGGACTAAAGTGAGGTCCGGATTTTTTGTTAGGGACCAAAAATGATATTTATTCTTATATTAGTTAGCAACGTATATAGATGATTAAAATAACGTAGCAACACAAATTGATTAGAGAGAAAATATATTCTTTCTCCCCTGTCACATACTCATCCCCATGATTTTTCATTCCTATGATTTCTTCATCATTTGTTATGAAAGCAACTAGATTATAAGCGGGTTTCAAGCGTTAATTTAAATTTTTTTACAAAAAAAAATTCGGAGGCGCCGCCCCCGAACCCCGCCACTAAATGTGCAGACATAGAAAAATTTTCCTGGATCCCCCGGTGCATCAAAGGATAGATAACAGGTGAAGTGGGAGAATTACCTAGACAAGATTGTGAAATATTTGCAGCAGATAGACTATAGTGGTAATTAGCAAGGTATCTTGGAGCAGAGTGAAGTCACGAAGATGTGCGTACATTAGTTGCCGCATCATGGTTAGCAGGAATAACATCATCTGGTTGTGTTGGCTGTTGATTTGAGGCAATAACTTGATTATCAGCAGTGACATTATCTGGTTGTGTTGGCTGTTGATGGGTTGACGGTGAGGATTGGTTAGTGGTGTCTGGCAATGAAGATGGTAAGGGGTCAAAATCAATAGGTGATGCAGATTGGTGGTGTGGCAAAGAAGGATTCGTTGGTTATATTATATCAGAGACTTCAAGCTGAAATCAGCTGAGTCTAACGCACATGTATTTGCTGAAATTAAGTTGGACTCCGCCAAGTTGGGCTGTGATGCATATGGGCTTGAAGCAATTGGACTAGGCTATATTAAACATTTCTCATGAATTTGCAGATATTACAAAACAAGGATTTGCACTTGGCTTTCCTTTGCCAATTTTATGAAGATAAGGGGTTTCGGGTCAGTACTCAGCAAAGGTAGTATTATCTTTCTTTCTTTTTTGGTGTGGGCAAAGGTAGTATTATCTATTAATCTATGGAGCGACCATTTTTTTTTATCAATATTTTAGTTATTTACGTATACATAAACGTATTTTTAATTAATCATTTAATATTAACATATTGATAAGCACAATGTGATTATGAATTCGTATTATATAATGAGGAATACATAATGTTCAAATATACGATTTTATCAATTTTATATTTATTTTTACACAATTAAATGATTAATTAATAATTATAATTTAAAAAATTAACACCAAATTGGATAATTTCTTTATTTAATAATATAAATATCATTATTTAAATTTTTAAAAAATAAATGTATTCGCGTATTATATTATCTTGTAACCTTACCTAACAACTTAAATTTTTGGAATGAATTTGTTATTTACATGATAACAGAAACGTGATTAAATAATAGGCTGAGTTTGATGCATCATTCAACTTTCAAACCTAGTTAGGTCTCGTATGAAAAATATGTTAAATATATATAAAATCATTCATGTAACATCATTTCACAGCTTAAACTTTTGAATTGAATTAAAATTAGTTATAATGTTCTATAACCATTTAGCCACACCAACATAACTCGTATCCACACTGCTTAGGTTTACAGTAAGAAGATAATTTATATTACGAGTTTTATAATTTTCATGTTGAATGAGAATAGAAATCTTATGTTATAGAGACAAAAATTATGTGGGACCCATATGTTAGAAAAAATTATATGTAGGATCCATGTCAGCACGAAAATCGAAGGGTGTGTAGGAAAATTTCGATTCTCATGTTAAATGAGAATTATAAAACCCTTACATTATATACACTTATCAATTATTAATTGATTTTTCGTAATATATGATAGGCTATCTTTAGTGTGAATAAGATAATCTACCAATGTGATACCATGCATATTTAAATGTGAGGCAAATATGGTTGGCAACTAAACTTTGAGATAAAGGTAACTAACAACTTTTGACTTCGGGTTTTGTTTTTTTGGTACAAACTTTGGGTTATTTTCAAATGAACAGAAAATAATTTTAAAGTAGAAAGAACTACGAAAGAGATTTACCATGATCTTCTTTTTCTTTTCTTTCGATGGTTTGTTTGTTTTTTTTCTTTTCCGAGAGCGATCTCCGCAAATTGGAATCTTTCTCCATTGTGGTAAGTGTCAATCAGCTGAAGGCCGTTTATATTCTGACATAAAAAAAGGGTTACATCTACGCAGTTTGGACAATGGGTCCAAAATTAAGAGCTTGAATTTAGAAGCTGGGTTGGTGCTTAGAACTAAAGAATGATCTGGGATGTATCCAAAAAAAAAGAAAAGAATGACCTGGGTCGAAAAGTTTTAGATTCGTTATCAAATTTTGGGCCAAGAGCCTCTATGATTTTTAAAGAGTTTTGGGTACTCTCAGTTTTTTTTTTAATATGCCAATTTGGAAAAAATCTTATTTGAATTTATTTATGGAAAAAATATTTCTGAAGTTACTGCAGATAAGTTATCTGTATTTATTTTCAAAACGACGTCGTTTTGATATTGAAATCTTAAAAAATTATAAATATAAAGACTATTGTAATCCTGAAAAAATTAAAATTATAAAAACACCATGATTTTCGTCCCAAAATGACATCGTATTAGACTTACTACAGATAACTTATCTACAGTAACTGCAGAAAAAATGAAACTTTTTTTTTTTGGTAAATAAAAACGAACCCGTGAAAAACTAATATAAAATTAAGTTTGATGTTTCCACTAAATAAACTAAGAGTATATTCATAAAAGGAATTTTTAATATTTTGAGTATTTTAATCAAAAGATATTAATCATGTTTTGGGGTATAAGATGATGAAATGAGATGTACAATTAATAAGATATTTGGAAATCTTGGTACGAAAATTCAATACATTTATAAGAGACAAGTATTTATATTAGCAATATGTTTTGAGTAAATACATTTTTGGTCTCTAACAAAAATATACGGTCATCACTTTAGTCTCTTACAAAAATAAATTAGTCAGTTAGCTCCTAACATGAGTCTTTTTTAAATTTGTGAGGGACCGCGATTTCAACTTAAAGAGTTCACTCTGATTTATTAGAGACTAACTGAATAATCTATTTTTATAAAAAACACTGTATTTTTTTGTTACAGAGCTCGTATGTTTTTCATGAGGGAGGATGCAATCTAGGGGGTTCTGGTTGTATCTAATATAGTGCTTAGTACCACATGCAAACCCTCACTCCCTATTCCCGAACCAAGTGTTCTTCCCGAGACACGTGTCATCACTTTCATTCTCCTTAAATTGATTCTTACAACTCTCATCACCATCACCTTACCCTTACCCTTACCCTTACCCTTACCTCTCTCTCTCTCTGCGCAAGTGCCAAAAAACCCAAAATCACAAGCTTCAATTCCCTTCAATGGAGGAGCCCCACCAAACTCGAAAAGAGAAGAACAGTCCTCCTGCTTCACAGGTTCTGGCACTCTCCATCCTCGTCCCTTTCGGAGCTACTCTCCTCTTCCTCGCCGGCATCACCCTCACCGCCACCGTGACTGGGCTCGCCGTCACCGCCCCACTGTTTGTAATCTTCAGCCCCGTCTTGTTCCCCGCAACCCTAGTCATTGGTTTGGCTGTCGTCGGGTTTCTGACATCTGGAGCATTTGGCGTCACCTCACTCTCTTCGTTTGCTTCGATGGCCAACTATCTCCGCCGCTCACGGTTGCCGGAAACCCTGCAACATGCAAAGTGGCGTGCGCAAGAGATCGTGGGCCAAGTGGCCCACAAAACTCAGGGAGCTGGCGACAGTGAAGAAAGCACGGCCGTGGAAACAGGACAGGAGGCCCAAAGTGAGGCCCGTTAAGCAGGAAAAGTATTAAAGGTTTGATTTTAGGCGTAGACTTATATATTGTAATGTTTTCTGAAATATTGACGCTTAAATATATGGTATGTTGTAAAAACAGTTTGTAGTCTGCTTCTACCAATAAATTGCCATGCCACGTGTTAATTAGGCCCTAATTGACTTTAAATTCAATTCTTTTCCAATTAATCGTTTTATATTAACAAATTTTCTTTGCATAGATGCATATCTAATTTGGGCAAAGACACAATTTTCACCCAATGTCGGATATTCGAACTAGAGAGTAATAAAGTTGTTACTTTCAACGGGATTTTATTTAATTATTAACTATATTGTAAATTATTATCTTTCTCATGAAATTGTGGGACCAATTATTTAGGTTAATCTGGACACAATTTTTCATGTGAGATACATTGTCGCTCGCACGATTGCGATTATATTTAACTTAATAGATACGTACTCACGTAAGAATGTCTATATCTTAATAGTCAAAAGGTTTTTTTGTATGAATACACATATTTAATTTAGGTGCAGTAAACTAATAAATAGTAAGATATTATTATCTCTTAAAAAAAAGAACACTGAAGAGGAGGGGAAATTAAGGTTAATTTGTGTTACAAGCTTCGTAGACGTATAGTAAGTAGACTTAGTACAAATCAGAATAACATGGTTAGTTGGATTTTTTTCGTAACTGATATTTCCAAGGCTCGTACCTTCGTTCTTTTTTTAGAGCAATTAGGTAATCACAGCGCTAAATATCCAAAAAAAGAGAGTAATAATATACCATACAATGAAATTACTGGAACTAAAACTATCTAGACCAACCGTCAACACAACTGGATACCTTAAGCCTGGCCTATTTTCTAGGGTTTTTTTATAACAGGTTATTGTAATTTGTAGAGGATAAGTGTTTTTTTTTTTCTTTAAAAAAAAAAAATAGAGAGCTTGAAGACATTTTATAGGAAATCTTTATATCTCAGACTAATTCATTACGGCTAAAGATTTACATAACCATCTTAAACGTAGTTATTCACTCTAAAAATTACATCGAATAACCAAACTATATTATTTACGTAATTCTTATTACAACAAATTAGATCGAATAACCAAACTATAGTAATTATGTAATTCTGATAACAACAAAATAAGTTGATCTAAGATTTCCTTACTTCCGCAAGGAAAAATACTAAGTGATCCAATTAACCATCTCGCCCACGTTTGTTAGATCGAAAGCCACAAGAAGTCAGAGAATATGCACTGAATCAAAAGAAAAATGCGCGGGCTTCTATCGTGAATAGCTGCTATATCTATACTGTTGCGATGGTTTTTTCAGTTGGTTTAGCATCCCCAAGTTATGTAGAACACACACAAATTGCGTTACTGCCTTTCATGCACATACATGAATATTATATCCGAAGACACATTTTTTATTATACATATAATATCAGCTACAAATTTCTAATTGTCACGCCTGTATGGCAGATAGTCTATCTATAAGTTGAACAAAAGTTTCATCCGTATCCAGCATGCTAATTCTTACGTATTTTGGACTAGCCCCAAATAGTTTCCCACTTCTAGTCAAAATCTTATGATCACTAAGAAACATAGCACAATCCTCTATTTCTTCTGCATCACACTTTAACCAAGCAAAACCTGCAACGTAGGTAAAACAAGGGGAAAAAAAAACAAAAAATAATAAAATCACATCTTGACATGAAAATCTACTTGCGGACATGAATGAAATTTGTCAATCGGTTATTTATATACCTGGTTGAGGCTCCGTCTCTTTACTGAAAAAGGTGCAAAACGAGGGAGAGAATTTTGGCACACTGAACATATTTCCTCCCTCAACTGCTCCTCTTAGTTTCTTCCACCTTCTTTCCATGAGGTCATGGCTGTAATGGAAGAACGATTCCTTATCTTGGGGATTTTTCCTTCCGCAGCCGTCAGACACTACCTTTAAAACCTTAGCAGCTCTGAGTTGAGAATCCTTCGACACACCAATTGTACTTATCTCTATGAATTTAGTCATTTTCTTCGCTACCTCTGGGTCTTTGACAAGAGCCCACCTAGAAAGTATAATGTAAATACTTCAACAAATTTGTATGATCTATTAAGTTTGAGCTTAATTTTGTTAAAATGTTTTTCACTAGTACTCAATCATATGTCACTTCATTGTTAACTAGTTTAACTTCTAAGAGAATCAATATTATCATATTCAAAAAACATTTTAATGATGTGATCACACATGCATGATTGAATAGTTGTGTAAAATTATTGTATTGACCTAGCATCATACAGCTGCGGAACTTATGCTTTTTACCCTAATTTCCACCCCATCCATAATATTTCCTTTTATGTTATTAAGTTTGAGTTAATTTATAAAAGGACTACTACACATAAATAAATGAGGGGGACATAATATTAATATGAGCTTACCCTATGCGCGTTCCTGCATGACCAGTGGCTTTCGAGACAGTGAAAAGTGTAATATCATGATCTGAAACGGATGTAATTGGAGTGTATTGTGGCCAATAATAGGCAAGGTCGTGAACCAATAGACCTTGGCTTCGGTTAACCACAGATCGCCTTGTAAATCCATCAGGGTTATTGGGAGAAGTAACCAGCTCAATGTAGGGAGCATATTTGTCAAAACTCTCAGCATCACCACCCCATTTGTAAAGTCCTGATTTCTGGTAATCTGTCATTTGTGGATAGCACTGCAAGTAATTCTCAAGTCAATTCAATGTTAAACCATGAACTCATCAAACTAAAAATCAGGTAACAAGTTTATTTTCAATATCGAACACACTTATATACGATTCTCCAAAGAGTTTTGCTCATTCCTCTTAATAACTATCCTAATACTTAAGAAATAAAGTATTAAATAAAAAATAAAATGTATGTATTTAATATGTTGAGAACATAAAAAACTATTTAATGCTTTCTTAGTTTAATTTTAAAAGGATCGGTGAAGAAGATTTAAAATTATTTTTGGGCGAAATGTTATGACAAAGTCAGGGCCTTGTGCAACAAGAAAGAATAGGTATAAAACCAGATAACCCATCATTCTAATTTTTCTATTAATTACTACATGAAGGAAATATTGAATGTTTCTTATGTTCCGAAATATGTTATTGAATGCATCTAAATTTGCCACTCATAAAAGCCTTTACATTAAATTATACCTTTTCACTTTTTTTAAAAAAAAAAAAATATATGAATTGAAACAATGACCATTTAGTTTGAATTCACAATCACTGACAGTCTGGAAGCGAAATTTTACTCCTTTTCAGCTCAGCACATGCGTCCGTTCATAAAAAGTGTTCATGTGATAAGGTGCAGGCATGCGAGGGTACGTGTGTGTGTGTGTGAGAGAGACTGAGAAAGGAAGACAAACAACGAGAAGGGCTAAAAAAGAAGGCAGATTCGGTATGAGCACATGAAAGAATTCCTTTAAAACCAAACAACAAATAACGAACAATCAATCTAACAATCTGCATAACTATATAAACAAAAGAAATGCTTTTTGAGATTTCAAAATATTTTTTACCACATAATACTTTGGTTAATAGCAGCACATTCCTTTAAAGTCAAAGAAGTTAAAAGTAGAGAAATATTAAATTCTTTGAAGCAATCAATCAAGTTGTATACTTTTAAAAGATCATTTATGACTCACCGAGTAATAGGGTACCGCAGATATAACGTTGATTGGTTCAGCAGCATCAGGTGGGGACAGAGCATAAAGAGCAGCCAAAAATAGCTGGGAGGAACCTGTCCCAACAACAATATGGCGACCTTCTGTGACTGCATTCCCCACCAATTTGTGCAATCTCACTACCTCCTTCGCAAATTCAGGCTCCAGAAACCAGCAAATGCTAGTTAAGTCAGAAAAATAGCTCATGGATTGCCATCCTGGAATTATTATAGTCGTCTTGTCACCCATTTGTCTCCAAAATCTTTCATACATTGTTGGATCTCCGCTGCATAACATCAAATTTTAAAATTAATTAAACACAATATCCCAGAATTGGAAAATGGATCATTAATTATTTCCAACAAACTTCTATTTAAATATTCATTTCTGCGAAAGAATAATATAAAAAGTAGTACGAACATTCTATACTATTTTATATTTCATATTATTTTGCACCGTGATTTTTTTTTTATTTTTTATTTTTTATTCTATCCAGCATGTAGCACGCTGTATCTGTGCCATTCCTCCCTGTAAAGTAACCCAATATAATATAATCGACCATGTAGATGTAGGGCATGCATGATCTGAGATCTGAGATCTGAACTCTGAAGCAACTTGGTCCTATAATCTTTTCTTTTGCCCAAGAAAAGTATGAAATAAGCTGGGTAGATAGCAAACAGTGAAAGCACAGTGGGGCAGATAAGTAAAGAAAGGAAGAGCAATTAACTCGGGGAAGGAGCGGCGTTATGGACTGCATGGGTAAGGTAACGGGAAAAAAAAGGAAAAAAAAAGGAAAAAAAGAAAAAGAATAGCGGGAAAAGACATTTACATCAGCCAGAAAATGATTAGATAGAATGATAGGCAAATTGATAGGTCGGTGATCACATTTGCATTTTAAATCAGATCAATGGGGGAAGTGGCATGCTAATCCAAGGAAAGACAAAATACGTTAGACATGGACTTCCATTTACACAGGGCCCACTAACTCGGTAATCCAGACGACCCATATAGAAACAGGAAAAAGTAAAAGAAAAATAGAAGAAAAAAAAGAAAGACGACACATATAAAGTATAAACAGCTACATTTGAGTGATTCACAATTGGGGCGGCCAAAAGTTGCAAAGATCTCTCTTTTTCTTTTTCTTTTTATAGATTATTTTCCCGTAATTTTATAAGTTTCTTACGAACGAATTCGAAATTTAGGACGAGTCAAAGATTAAGCCTTTAAATTTTTTCTAAAGATAATATTAGAAAAGATTAAACATATACTTTTTCAGTTCCCATATATCAATTCAACTACCATTATTTGGTATCATAAAGATCTCTAATCACAAATCAAGCCGCACTTCCATAATAGCCTCTTGGTCTTAGTAAAGGCGACCCAAAAGGGGTATCGTACGTCATGCAGTGTGGGCATCAGGCACATGGCCCCCACCAATTTCTTAGGTAATAGGTATTCTTCTTGCAAGAACGATATGCTATCTTGCTACGCCTTGTGCTCTTCAAAGCTCTAGTATACTATATTAGGTTTTTAGCAGTTTGAGGTCCACGGCTACCTTAACGAACATGATAATAATGTCGTTGGTCAAATGTCAATAAGAACCGCCCATGGTGCTTACGTAGGACTCTATAGCACAGCACAAGCTAAGCTAGCACTAGTGTAGTGTCTAGTGCTACTAAAACATCATCAACTCGATGTTGCTGTTAGGATATTTAAATAAGATATTTAAATAAGAGGTTTAATGTTTCTTATGTTGTAGAAGATAAATATCTCCTATACATGCATAAAAATGTTAGGACGAAATCCCTCAAATGATTTGCTCTGAAGCATTTATCCAACCGATACAACTAGCTTAGCTTAGTGCTTGATACAATAGGCTTTACCGCCCAGCACAACTACCCCGTCTGCACTACATATTTTACCGCCCGGTACACACAATCTGACGGGAAATTTTTAAAGTACCACGGTGGTACCATGTATTCAGTGGAGAACACCAACCAAAAATAGAGAGAGAAGATGAATGTGAGATGAAAAAAATAAAAAATAAAAAAATATATACAAGTGGCAGATTTTGAAAGGAAGTGGTATGTACCACCGTTGCACCAAAAGTTTGCTCAATCCGACGGGCTGATGTCTTCAAGCTTACCACTCAACAAATTAGTCTTACCAGTCGACCAACACACAAATGATCAGTAATCACCAATAAGTCTAAAAACGCAACAGAAACAAGAAATGTAAAAGACGAAAGATAGAGAGCAAAACACAACAAATTTTAATGTGAAAAACCTCCCCTAAAGCAGAGGAGTGAAAATCACGGGAAACTAGTTTAGAAAATCTTTCACTGCGAAATAGTAAGATTACAAAGAGTTAAAATGTTCCTAGTCACACTAGAGGTACACTCAAACATTATCAACAATGGTGGTACACTTAAGCTTCACCAAAAGAGATGGTTACAAAGTTCTTCTCCAAAGAGGTCTCTCACTCGAACTTTTCTTTAAAGTATTCTCACACTCACGGTGTCTCCAAAAGCTTCTTACACAAATGTTTCGTCTGCTTATATAGGTGAGGAGAAACCCTACACTTTCTTCTAGAGTCTTCATCAATGATTATGTCGGTAGCATTTATTGAGGTGGTTGTGTTCATACATTGAGCCATGCACCCATAAATGAAGTGCATGCCTAGCCACTAATCATTAAAGGATGAACACACCCCCACAAATCTCCCACTTCCGACTTTAATGCATTGGGTTTAGTCGTTTAACAGCCAGGCACTTTGACAACAGTATATAAATTTTCTTGCATCGACCAGCCTCATCATCATGTCTGCCAAGTTTGATTATCATATGTTTGATTATCATAAAAATACTTCATCTCGTCTTGCATTGCTTTTTCCTATTCATTGCGATCAGGACTCGTCATGGCTTCTTCATAGCTTTGTGGTTATCCTTTAGCAACCACTGTATACTCATCAGGTGGATACCTGGTAGAGGGTCGTCTCACTCTAGTCAAGTGTCTTGTTTCCGGTCGGTCAGTTTGAGGGTCCTGCAACTTACTTTCTTAATCGGCATCACCTTCATGGCGATCAACATTACCATGTATCTCATTTTTTTTTCATTTCCTTCATTATCGGTTGGCACTTCTCATTCATTTTCTTCAACATTTTCTTACCTTATTTCCGCCCGTACATGGGAACAGATTCTTCATGCTGCTTGGTAACACAATTGGGCTTCAAGATGTCTTTGATGGTCTCATTTTCATGAAAAATCATATCTCGGCTTCTCACAATCTCCCAGTTGACAGTATCCCAAAGTCTGTATCCAAACTCACATCTCGGCAAGCCAAGGTATATATATTCTTTTGTCTTAGCATCAAGCTTCGCCCTCTAATCTTTGGGAATGTGTACAAACTTCTTCTGAAATTTCTCCTTCAAGCCAAAGGTTGCATTCTACCGGTCCACACTTCTTTTGGAATTTCTCCTTCAAGCGTTCAACTTCACCCTAGAATGATTTAGGCAACTTGGCATGTGATAACATGCATCAAACCTTTTCTTCAATTGTTCTATTCATTCGCTCGACAATTCCATTTAGCCGAGAAGTCTTGGGGGGCGTCTTCTCGACCCTTATACCGATCGCCCGACAGTAAGCATCAAATGGTCAACGATATTCTTCCCTTTATCCGATCGGACTACTTTGAGCATCTTGTCAGTCTCCCTTTCCACCATAGCATGAAATTCTTTGAATGCTTAGAGAACATGATCTTTAGATTTCAACAAATATGCCCACACCTTGTGGGAATGGTCATCAACAAATGAAACAAAGTATTGAGCCCCACTAAGCGATCTCCCCCCCCCCCACAGAGCAGATGTTGGTGTGGACGAGGTCTAGAATATACCTGTGTCATCTGGGCTGATCTGGTCGAGCAAAGGATACTCTATGCTGCAATGCGTACAATTCTTCAGCATAGGCCCATTCCGCCCGGTCATCAATTCTTACCGCCAGGCAACAAACTTTTTTTGTTCAAAATTTGAAGACTTTTTTTCACTTATGTGGCCAAGTCTCTTGTGCCACAGTTTCACGCTAGCTTCATCCGCTCGGACAGTGTTGACTTCTCCACCATTTATCTTTACTTACATCATGTTCAAGGAGCCTTATTTCTTTCCTCATACAACCATCGGGTTTTCCTTGGCCAGCTTCCACCACAAAAGTAGTTCACTAATCCGACATCATCAAGCTTTCTGGCCTAGATTAGGGTTAATCCCATATCATGCACATGCCTTACTTCTTTCAATATCAATCGACATCCAACGTCTGTGGTCAGGGTCACCTCACCAACTCTAACAATCTTACTTGTGACTTGATTTCCCATTTTAACAACTCCAAAGTCACCACTTCTATAAAATGAGAAGAAGCTCTTGTATGGGGTGACATGGAAGGAGGCACCTGAATCAATAATCCAGGCATAATCATCATAGGCAATGTTCAAAAAATTGTCCTCGCCAAGGAGGAAGACCTTAACAACAGAATTTGCAACCACCGCAGTTATGCTCTTGTCCTCTTTCTTCTTAGGCTCTATCTTATTAGGCTTGACATTGCTGCTCTGCAGGTCTTTCTTCAGAGTTCAGCAGTTTGGCTTCTTGTGGCCGGGCTTCCCACAGTAGAAGCATGTTAGCTCATACTTAGGCCTCGACCAGCCTCTGGACTTGTAACGGCCATCACGACCCCATCTCTTACTTCTTCCTCGTCGGTCGGTCCTTCCTCTGCATTCAGCAAAGTTTGCATCAGACGTGCTGGAAATTCCTCGTTCTCTTCTCTTGGACTCCTCGTTCAGAAGGCCGAATTGATCAAAGTCACTATCTGAGTATCTCAGCTTTATGGCAACGAACTCAAGAGTAGCAGAGCCTGGAGCTCATCATCAATTTTCATCTCACCTTTAGAAAGTTGGTTCACAACACCTTTATAAGTGTTTCGATGCTCTATCATGCTTATGTCGTCCTTATATTCAAGCTTCACAAATCAGTGAAGCATGTGTGCTTTGTTCCTAGGAGTCTTTTTCTGACTCATGGATTCAAGCTTCGTCCACAACTCATGGGCATTGTTGAGCTTATAAACATGTTCAAAGAGGCTTTTGTCGATGTACTTCCTGATCATGGCCATGACCTTTTTATTCAGGATCTCTCATTCTTTCTCGTTCTTTCCTTATCATAACTATTTAAATAGTTTTAATAAAATTAAATGGAAATGTGTTCGGTTTTGTCTTTTATTTTTATTGTATTTTAAGCAACAATTATAAAAGTATTACTATATTTTTTTCTTTCAATTAAAAGAAATGAATCCAAACATCGCTTTAATTATCCTATCCCTGCTGAACACTAATGCGTTTCTTCACTTCTTCCAACAAACTTGACCCTCAACTCTAGAACAAGAGAAAACCTTTGATATATCCAATGTATCTACATCTTTGCTAAACGAGGAAAGTTTTTTAAGACTTGGAGGGAAAATAAAGAAAACAAAGTTTTAAATGAAAAAAAAAAATCTTCATTTGAAAAAAAGATGTAGCTACTTAGGTACATCTGCTGCCTTCAAGAAATTTCCATGCAATAAAGAGCTAACAAAATACCATTATCAAACTCAATTTATGGCGTGTCGGGTTTTGTATCTATTTTTCCAACTAACCAAGTCCCAATATGTGGAGAAAATGTTAAAAAATACTAATTTTTTAAGAGATAGAAAGATATATTCAAGGGGAATATATTTTTCATGTTACATGAGATAAAATTATTTCATATAACATAAAAAAAAAAAAGATAAGATATACTAAGGAGAAGAAAGAAAAAAATAAATAAATAAATCTCATCCACTTTTTGTGTGTGCATAAAATAATTTTGTCTCACACAACATTATAAATATTTTTCTATATTTTATATGCAAAATTAATTAATGATAATAGAATGGTAAAATAATATTAATATAATCTGTATAATAAATGTAAAAATAAGTCCTATGATGAAAATTACTTCATGTTTTTGTTTCTACAATTTTCAAATGTTAAATATTGCCTCCCATATACATTAAACAATAGGCCAATATTTTTATATGAAAAAGTTAAATACTTAGAAAAAGGAAATTACAAAACTCAAAATAATTAATCTAGTCAATCAATTGGTGTTTTTATTTTAATATATTGCAGATTAAAAAAAACGTACATACGCAATATGCATATTTTAAGAGTTTCATGACAAAAAATAAAAATTTAAAATTTAAAATTTAAAATAAGTAATGAAATATATTTAATTGGAATCATGAAACATATGTAATGTTTAAAAATAATTAAAAATGTTTAATAAAATATATTGAATACAGAAAATATTATATATAATAATTTTTTTTTTTAAAAATAAACTAACATAGTAACGTATAACTCTTCTTTAATTTAATAAATAAACTAATAATATATTTTAAATTAAATTAAATAAAAAATTACATTTTTATTTACACATTTCAAATAAACTTATTTTATCATTGTTCTCAAATGCTAACTTGACAACATATTTTTCTCAGACACACTCACGTAAAATAAATGGATCCTATTCTAAAAAGAAGAGAAAAAAAATATTAATAAGATCCAATTATTTTGATGTAAATGTGATAGAAAATCTTTCTAGAATAAAACCAAAAATATTAAACCTTTATTTTTTTATGTTTCTGACATTTTTTAAAAGAATATACGGTAGAGGCTGTGACTTGTCCCTGTCTTTCCCAGAAGCTAGAGCAGGAAGCAAAGCACAGACGAACGACGTAAGCCCTAGGCCCCCGTGAGAAACAGAGATGGCTATTCAAACAAAAGTAAAAATAAAAATAAAAAATTACATTTAAAATATAAAAAATTACATACACAAAAGATGAAGATATTTTAAAACATCAAATAGCTTAAATTTAGTTTTAATTACTTTTGAAAAAAAAAATTACATTTTCAATATATTAGATCAAAAAAGGAATGAAGCTAAGGTATAAGCAGATATTTTGGCTGATAAAAACAGTGACATCACCTTAAACCATAGTTTACCGGTAAATTAACTCCCCTCCCTCAAAAAAAAAGAAGACAATCACACCATCAAAGTTAAGATCCAAAATATGGTTACTGTGGATGCGTTAAGATCAAAAGGAATTGTCAAAAGGGTTGTGAATGATATGTCAAGTATCACTAAAGATTGCTTGTTCACCCAAACAACACAAAGATTAACTTGCTTAGCAAGTGGCAACCTTAATGCATACATTTTGACATGAGCAAGGAAACAAAAAGAATCAATCTTAGCTTGTACTTACTGATCAAGGTTGATTACTCTTTCACTGTCTTCGGGATGATCTGCACGAGTAGAATTGACGACAGAGGAAGTAGAGGATATAGCCAATCGTGATTTGTGCACAATATGCCCTTCTCTATCAGCATCAGCCACCAGCGTTTTCTTCAAGGCGTTGCCTTCTTCGCTCTCATACACCATTCTAAGTATCAAACTGACATTCAGAGCCAGGGATATCACAAGGAAGTGCCTCAATGAGAGAATACTGTGAAGCTTTGCCATCTCAAAACAGAACAGAACACTCGGTAAGAGAAAACTTAAAACCAAACAGAGCACTTTGTATTTGTAAGAAAACAGCCTCAGTATGTGAAGTCAAGAGGGTCTGATCTATGTCTTATATACTCCTTTTTTAAAACCTGCCAACAAAGCACTTACCCTATAATATATTATAGCAGGAATAAAGAACTTTTGCTAAAGTTTTTGGTGGAGAAGAAAAGCTTCCGTTAAAGCTTACTGTTCCGGACGGTGGGGCTGAAATCTTGAACTAAAGCCGTTACTATACTTCAATGAAAACATATTCTAATCCTAATTCAAAGTAACGAGTAAGAAGCAATTGAATAATTTTGACGGATAGTGCAGAATTCTTGTAATTTTTCAACGGCCATAATAATCAGCTTGGTTGTCAGGTGTTTTCAAGAGCTTCGGATTGACAGCAAGTAGCAGAGAGTGGGGACTTAGAATTCCACACCACTCTCCATAGATTCCGGAAACGCTCAGCGGGTTAGGATGAACATCAGTGGCAACGGATAAAGGTGAAAATATTATAGAAATTAAGAACAACTCATAGTAGCAAACGAAATCCACTTAAAAATGTATTTTGACATTCTAGAATTTCCTAAGAATTAAATGAAGATGTGGATTGCGGCTTGTGGAAGTATGGCTGACAAGTAAGAATGAATGGAAGAAGATAATATAGTATCAGACAGTAGATTATCACGACAATCAAAAAATACGGAGTTAGCTTTACCAGAAAATTCACAGCTTTTGGATGCTAGTTCTTGAAAACAGTAAAGCTATGTATTTATAATGAATTGACTCTGTTGTATCACAGAAAAAAATAATTAGGAGTTTTACAAATTCTTAAAAATTATATTAAGTATTCTCAAAAATATACTAAATTATATTATGTATTTTCAAGAGCATATAATATAATTTATAAAAATTTATAAACAGATCATTTATCATATAATACAAATCAAAAAATCAAAAAGTATAATATACATATATAGAGTGCAATGTTTTTCTCATGTTATTAGAGAGGAAGAAAGTTTCCTACACACTCAAATTTATAGTGGGGCTCACGCATAAAAAATAAAGAAAACAAAAAAAATTATTGCACTCAAAATAAACTCTCATTAACATGATAATGAGAAGAAAACTCTCCTACAACATAAGAATTCTTTTTCCCAGATATATATATATATATATATATATATATATATATATATATATATATATATATGATTGATCTTATTGCAAGATAAGTTGTATTTGTATAGCAAGATAAAATGGTCTTTTGAACTATTTAAGTAGTATTATGTAATTATTTATTAGTTTATATCTTTTGATAAATTATATATCAATTTAATGTAAAAAGACATGTATTTTTGTGTACGTATTCAAGTCGTGCATCACTTCACGTATGATTTGTGCAAAAATCAACGCTCACCTATCACATATTATGTATGTAAGACGTGCATATGGCATGTGCGATTTGAACGCACATGGGAGTAATGCACGTCTTGTATAGCATGACACAGACATGCACATGTGATTTTTGCACAAATTATGTACAGAGTTATGTGACTTAAATATGGATGTGCATTTTATTAAATTGATAAATAATTTAGGGGAAAAAATCAAACGAGGAAAATATTTCTAATTTTGCTTTACATAAGTCAAAGGTGAAATAGAATATAAATATAATAATACAGTATAAATAGTTAATTAACAGGACAATTTTGTATGTTTTTGACTATTAATATGCATAATTAAAATTTTTATAATATCTATGAATACAATAACACAAATTTATTAAATATATTTTGTATTATTTATTATTTTGCACGTGATAGAGTTAGAACGACATAAGGGTACAAGTTATTGCTGTAACTGATTCATTATAGGATAAAATAAGTGTAGAAAGTATGTAACAAAAATAAATAAATAAGTGTAAAAAGTCAAAAACTAGGCGGATGTATTATTTTTTGAGGTTTTATTCTTTAGACATGCTTTTATTTCAATGACAATGGTATAATTTTATATTTTTATTTTAGTTGTATTTTTAGGGTTATTTAATACAATATAAAAAAAATTATTTAAGATTTCAACTGTTCACTTTGAATATTTTGTATTTTATTAATCAAAATTGTGAACAAATGATTTTCCTTTTAATTTTACTTTTTTGTTTAACCCAATTTTATTGCATTCAACCTCATGGGGTATTAGGAGTCTTATATTGTGATTAATCAATGACTAAATAAAATTGTAGTGGCCGTGGAGGTCTGAGTGGTGATGATAGGGCATTGATTTGTTTATCAAGAAAATGACGAAACGTGTTTGAAAAACATATCATGTATAAAACTGAATCCAGAATCTGAAGTAACAAATTGTGCAGAGAAATTTAGGTGCTCAATCCCAAAATTGAGTGGAATTAAAGAATAATTATAATTAAATAATAAAAATTGTATACATATAATATAAAATGATTTAATGATTTAATTATTTAATCATATAAAATAACAGTAAAATTATTTATTTAATATGAAAGTAAATATTTAAATGGACTGATTTAATATAATTTTTTATTATTTTTATTATAATTTGGTTAATTAGCTAAATCATCTTGTTTATTATATATGCCTACACAATTAGTTATTGTTTATATATTCTCTGTAGTTTATATGAGTAATGTATTATTTGGATACAAAAAAAAATTAACGTATCCTTTAATATCATGCACAACATATCATACACAAATAAAATAAAAAGACTTAAGAATTATTTCAACTATTATTTTATAACTTTTCAACTTAAAAAACTGATTATAAATTAAAGGAAAAATTTTATTATCGTCCTTTGTGGTTTTATGGTGTATCCCTTAACCCTTTGGTTTTAAACTTATCACTCATACTCATTATGATTAAATTTTTGAAGTGTCTCTTTAATTTCTTGTGTCAGTTAGAATAGTGAAGAGTCAATTGTCTCTTGGTTTTCTTATGTGAGTTATGAAGTTAAATTATTATGTTTATTAGGGGTATAATGGCAGATGTTATGAGTAGTTAATTAGTGGTGTTATGAGGATGTTATAAGACTCTTGATTAGCTTTGTAACGAGTCTCTTCATTGGTACTGGATGTAATGTCCCACATCGGTTGAAGAGGGGAACGAAGCATGCCTTAAATAAGGGTGTGGATACCTTTCCTTGTAGGAGGCCTTTTGGGGTAACCCAAAACGTAAAACCGTGAGCTCGACGGTGCTTGTGCGCGGGGCAAAGCGGACAATATCCTGCAACAGGGTTTGGGGCTGTTACATTTGGTACCAGAGCCTGGCCCTGGACCGGTGTGTACAGCGGGGACGCTGTATTCCCAGTGGGGGAGGATATAATGTCCCACATCGGTTGGAGAGGGGAACGAAGCATGCCTTAAATAAGGGTGTGGATAACTTTCCTTGTAGGAGGCCTTTTGGGTGTAACCCAAAACGTAAAACCGTGAGCTCGACGGTGCTTGTGCGCGGGGCAAAGCGGACAATATCCTGCAACAGGGTTTGGGGTTGTTTTCAGTTTTTTGTGTTGCCTATTAATAGGCTTGATGTTTTGAAGAAATATGAAGCATTCAATTTTCAGTATTTTTACGTGTTTCAATTTTAGAGTCTCAATATTCTATCAGTTGTATCAAGAGCCAGGTTGAGGTTCAAACACGTGAGGGAATAGAGTTGTAAAAAAGAGAGAGAGAGAGAAGAACCATGGCTACAGATTCTAATTTTGTGCAAGGAGCCCTTCCACGTTTCGATGGTCACTATTATCATTGGAGCATATTGATGGAGAATTTCTTTCGATCAAAGGAATATTGGGACGTAGTTACCAATGGCGTTGCCGAACCAGCAGAAGGAGCTCAATTGACAGCAGCACAACAAGTGGCTCATGAAGCGGCAAAACTGAAGGATTTGAAGGCGAAAAATTATCTATTTCAGGCCATTGATCGTTCTATCTTAGAAATGATTCTTTCCAAAGAATCTTCCAAGGACATTTGGGACTCAATGAAAAAGAAGTATCAAGGCTCTGCAAGAGCAAAGAGGCAGCAACTTCAAGCTTTACGCTCGGAATTCGAAACACTTCGAATGAAGTCGGGAGAATCAATTGCATATTATTTCTCTTGTGTAATATGACCATCGTCAATAAGATGCGAATTCATTTAGAAAGGACAACAAAAATAACTGTCATAGAAAAACAACTCGATCGTTAACAGCAAAATTTAATTTTGTTGTTTGTGCTATAAAAGAATCTAAAGATATAGATGATTTATCACTTGGTGAATTGCAGAGCTCATTGGTGGTGCATGAACAGAAGTTCAAACAGGAAAATGCAGATGAGCAAGCATTAAAGGCTTCTATCGATACTCGTTCCAACAATTTTTGAGGACGAGATAGAGGTAGAGGTAGAGTTAGAGGCAGAGGAATGGGAGATCTCAAGATCAGAGGTACCTCCACTAATTTTAGAGCCAATAATGATCAATTTCAAGGCAAAGGCAGAGGAGGAGCCCCTGATAAATACAAGGTAGAATGTTTCAGGTGTCATAAATTTGGTCATTATCAATCTGAATGTTATACTAGGCTGCCAAATAACAAAGAAAAAGGAGAAAGTTCAAACTTTGCAGAAACGGAGGAAGGTGAAACCTTATTGATGGTTGTTGAAGATGAAAAGAAAATTGAGTCAGATGTTTGGTATGTGGATACCGGCTGCAACAACCGTATAAGTGGTAGTAAGTCTTCTTTCTCTCATCTGAATGAAAATTTTCAATCTACTGTGAGTTTTGGTGATCATTCTATTGTGAAAATAATGGGAAAATGTGACATTAAAAAAAAAAACCAAGAATGGTTTTGTGGAAACTATATCAAATGCATTGTATGTTCCTGATTTGAAAAGTAATTTATTGAGTGCTAGCTAATTACAAGAAAAGGGTTATGTGATCTCTATTAAAAATGGTGTTTGTGAAATATATGATTCTGTTAGAGGTGTTATTGCTATTATTCAGATGAGTTCAAATATATTGTTTCCATTAAAGATTGAAGGAATCCAATCTAGTTTAATGGTTGAAATGAAAGATCCTTCATGGTTGTGGCATTTTCGCTATGGCCATTTGAGCTTTGGTGGGTTGAAGACACTCCAACAAAAAAACATAGTGATGGGCCTCCCTCAAATCACAACTCCTCCTTCCTTAGTATGTGAAGAATGTGTTGTTAGTAAACAACATCGTTCTGAATTTGCAAAAGGGAACTCATGGAGATCAAAAGGAATTTGCAATTGGTGCATTCAGACATTTGTGGTCCAATAAATCCAATTTCTAATGGAGGTAAAAAATATTTAATTACCTTCATTGATGATTTTTCTAGAAAAACGTGGGTTTATTTTTTACAGGAAAAGTCAGAAGCTACCAAATGGTGGTAGCTCAGTTGGCGCATGGGAGCTAAGCAGGTGGGGGTGAGAGCATTTGTTCGAATCTCCCCAGTACCACTTTTGAGAGGGGTTTAAAGCCTTAATCTTGGAACCGCCCCGAATCGGATTAGTTGCGAAGCAATGAACTGATTGGAATATTTCAAAAAAAAAAAAAGTCAGAAGCTTTCTCTACATTTAAAATTTTCAAAGCTCGTGTGGAGAATGAGACAGGAAGGATGATTCAAACATTTCGCACGGATCACGTTGGTGAATATTGCTCAAAAGAATTTGAAGCTTTCTGTGAAGAACATGGCATCCGAA